TAGCTGGGTGTGGTAGCGCGTGCCTGTAGTCCCAGCTACTCAGGAGGCTGAGGCAGCAGAATGGCTTGAACCCAGGCAGCAGAGGTTGCAGTAAGCCGAGATTGCGCTACTGCACTCCAGCTTGGGCAACAGAGCAAGACTCCATCTCAAAAAAAAAAAAAAAAAAAAAATTTTTGTCAACCACGTGAGGGAGCTTGGAAGTCAGTCTTTTTCCCCAGTAGACCCTTTGATGAGATGCACTACAGCCCCAGCTGACACGTGGAATATATAGCTATGTAAGACCCTAAGGAGAGGACCCAGCTAAACTGTGCTCAGCTGTGAGATATGTGCTGTTTTGAGCCATTATGCTTGTGGTATTTTGTTACACAACAATAAAAAAACACAAATACCTATGATAAAGCCTTTCCACTTTTTAATCAGTATCACTCAAAATGTTATCAATGGACTGTAGGCCAGGCATAGTGGCTCACGCCTGTAATCCCAGCACTTTGGGAGGCCAACGCAGAAGGATTGCCTGAAGCCAGGAGTTCAAGATCAGCCTGGGCAACATGGCAAGACCCCCATCTCCATAAAAATAAGCCAGTACAGTGGCTCGCACCTGTAACCTGAACACTTCGGGAGGCCGAGGTGGGCAGAAAGCTTGAGCCCAGGAGTTTGACGAGACCAGCATAAGCAACATGGCCAAACCCCATCTCTACAAAAAATACAAAACTTACCCAGGTGTGGTGGCACATGCCTGTAGTCCCAGCTACTCAGGAGGCTGAGGTGGGAGGATCACCTGAGCCTGGAAGACAGAGGTTGCAGTGAGCCATGATCGCATCACTGCACTCCACCTGGGGTGATAGAGCAAGACCCTGTCTCTTAAAAAAAAGAAAATGAAAAAATTTTCCAGCCTGGGCAGTATGGCAAAACCCTGTCTCCATTAATACCAAAAAAGTTAACTGGGCATGGTGGCACATGTCTGTAGTCCCAGCTACTCAGGGGGCTGAGGTGGGAGGATCACTTAAGCCTGGGAGGCAGAGACTGCAGTGAGATCAGGCCACTGCACTCCTGCAGGGGGACAGAGCAAGACCCTGTCACAAGATAGATAAATAAGAGTTTTTTAAAACACTTTAAGCTTTTTTTTTCTTTTTTAACAATTTTTGTGAGTGTATAGTAGGTGTATATATTTACAGAGCACATGAGATATTTTGATATAGGCATGCAATATAAAATAAGCACATCATGGAGAATGTGGTATCTATCCCCTCAAGCATTTACCATTTGACTTATGGGGTATCCAAACCCTTAGGCATTTATCCTGAGTTACAAATAATCCAATTACACTCTTTGAATTATTTTAAAACGTAAAATTATTATTGACTATAGTCACCCTGTTCTGCTATCAAATAGGTCTTATTCATTCTATTTTCTTGGTACCCATTAGCCATTCCCACCTCCCCCTACTTTTTCTTAATACTTACAAAAGGTACAATACACCTTTTTACATGGCCAAACTGTGCAAAGTATTCTTTCAGCTGACCTGTGTGGCAGAAGAAAACGTATTAAAAGCAGTTACTATATTTTGGATTCTCTTAGATTGTAGAAAGAAACTAAAAGTGATCCCACGGTCACCAGACTTCTTGTGGACAGGAACTACTTTGCATTTCCCTAAAGGCTTAAGATTTAGGAAGCAGCTATGGTACTGACTATAAAGTCACAATGTACCAGACTTGGTGGTGAGGAGGGGAGATGGACAGACAAGTTGTTGAACTGGCTGCAGTCTCCATCCTCAGCAAACATCAAGTGTTTTCATCATATCAGTTACTGTGCTATGTGGACTATGATCCCTGTGAGCAGATCACAAAGAAGAAAAAGACCAATTACAGTCCAGTGTGTTTCCAGGTATACTGAAGATTTCCAAATAAAATCCCAACTTACTGGTCCTTCACAATTTAGTAAAATGAGTTGACCTCACCTACTCTTCCTGCCTTATTTCCCACTGCTGGTCCCTAGTTACTCTCTAGTACAACAAATTGAATTATCTGTATCTGTCCTGCGGATTATCCTCTGCATATGTTGTTCTCTCCCCTCTGTATGCTGGTAATCCTATCTCCCCCTGCCTAACTTACAACTATAACTATTCTTCAAGACCCAAACCAAATACATCCACTGAGTATTATTTTACTGGGCTCCTATCACAATACAAGACAATGTACTAGCCCTGTAGGACTTCAAAGATTTGGAGTATATAAGACTAAAAACTACATGATCTGTTTCTCTTGTGAACTATAGTGCCTGTACTTCACTGAATTACTTTTTATAATATCTATTTAGTTCTCCTAGTTCACCAAAACCTCACTGGTTCAACAACTGCCTATATTTGTTCTAAGTCTCTTCATCCCCACCACTACTACACTGTAAGCTCCCTCAGCATATAAACCACCATGTTTACCGTGACCAATAAACAGCAGGGCCTCAATATTGGCTAAATGAGTAAGTAAATGTCCACTAATCCTTCCAACAATCCACAGAGACTAAATTTTTAAGGGATCTAATGTTTAAGTCAAACCAACTGGCAAGATCAAGGTCTCACAGAATATGATACTGGAGAACAAAATAATGTTAAACATATGTTTTACACCAGATAATTAAAGTCCTAGAAGACACTGATTTCAAAACAAACCAGCTCTAGAAGGTAACCCTCTTCCTAAATTGCCTAAAATGCTGAAGGAAAAACAGCTGCAAGCACCAATAAGAATGCCTACCACAGAATAGATACTCAAATAAGTATTTGCTGAATCAGTGTAACAACCAAGAGAAACTGTTTCGAGGTTGTACATAATGCTCACTCTTTTTAAGGGTTTTAAACTCGCCCTTTATTGTCTGGAAACTTGCATCCTCAAGATGCTAATGAAACTCCTCAGCCTTTCCATAAAGTTTCACAGGGCCTACCGGAGGCTTTACTGGGCTTGGTCTTCACCAACCACATGTTTAAAAGATGGGGCACAAACCAACCTATTTCCCATTCTACTACTCACATCTGAGCCACAAAAACTAAAAAGAAACTAAATCTTGCTCCATTTTGTTTAAAGGGGCTGACCTGAAACATGAATATCTACAAAAAAAGTGACCACGAATGTTTATATGTTGGTAAGCAAATATAAAAACCTCATCTCAAAACTGCAACTGACAAAAATTGAAGGTGGTGAAAGATTTCAGAACTAATTATTCCAACCTTTATCTCAAGACTAGGCCTCTCCTGTAAGTTTCAATTTTAGCTATCGTGAAAATAACTATCATTTGCTGAGTACTTACACTGTATCTAACGCAAGTCTAAGAAGTTTGCATATAAACTCAATCCTCTCAACAATCCTATGAGCTGGGTATTATTGACTACATTTTATCAATGAGTAAACTGAGGCTCAGTTGTGAGTCATTTTCCCATACTAACTTCAGTTATTCAGGTGATACAACGATTAAATGGCCAAGCTGGAATTCTAACCTCAACGGTCTAGTTTCGGAGTCCACTTCTCAGCCACAATGATATACAACCTCTGTTCAATTGCCCGACAGAAACTTCACAAGTTTCTCAAACTCAACACATTCAAACTTTACTCACCTTCTCTTGGCCTGCTCCTAGCTTCTAAAGGAGCAATTCACCAATGCTAAAAACCCAGAAATCACTCCTCCCTTTCCTTTATTCCGTACACTTTCCCATTTAAGCCATCACGAAACGGCATCTAATTTGCTTTTAAAACATGAATGGATCTGACCATCATCCTTCTACCATCGCCCTAATTCAGGTCCTCACCTTTTAAGTAAATTAATGATACTGCTTTTTAGCTCCTCTCCAAGCCTACAATCTTGCCACCTTGAATCCATCCTCCACACTACAGTCAAAATTATCCCTTCTAAATTGTAAATCTTGGTTACCAAGTAATAAGTCTTTACACCAAATCACTCCTAAAGGCAAGAGCTGGTGCATTCGTGACCCCAAAAGCTCAAGGGACATCCCTAAACGGTTAACTGCAAACAAAATTTCTTTCTGCTCACTTGCATGATCAGGAGCAGTCTCCTAATTCAGCCACCACGCTGACTTAAGTACCCTGCAAAAAGCAGAAGCTTTGAGGATCGCTTGGACCTAAAAATTCCGCTACTCCCACATCTCCATCACTCACTCGACGCCGCAGTCCAAGGAATTTTTCTCACAAAAGCAACCGGCCGATCGATATTTCTACGCAGCGCCACAGCACCTCTCGCTACTGAGGCCGCCATCTTTAGACTAAAGGACCTCCTTGAAGCGAGGCCGCGGCCCCGGAAAAATTTTCCGGATCCGGAACACGAGAGAATCTGCTTCCGGATCAGAGAGTACAGGCCGCGAGATGGGGAAGATGGCAGCGGCCTTGGGATCTGTAGCGACTCTGGCGACTGAGCCCGGGGAGGATGCCTTTCGGAAACTTTTCCGCTTCTACCGTCAGAGCCGGCCCGGGACCGCAGACCTGGAAGGGGTCATCGACTTCTCGGTGGCCCATGCAGCCCGTGGCACGGGTCCTGGTGCCCAAAAGGTACAGAGAGAGGAGCGGCACGCGTCTCTCCGTTGCTTTGCGCCTCTTCTTGGAGGGACTTCCGTGTCTTCCTGGCTTCTTTTCACCTCCAGACCGGTTGTTGTTGAACGATTCCTGTCCTCCTTTGGCGGCAGAGTCGAACTCCCCGCTGTCACACTAGCAGTAACGCGTTGAGATGCTCGTTTCTTTAGGCGGCCATTCCTGGCAGGGGGGCTCGGTCAGAAGAGCCTGGGAATCCGTGTTTATTTCTTATTGTAACTGTCTCCTTACATTTCTGTTTGGGTTTTGTAAAACCCCATAGAAAGTCTTCGTAGACGGTAGGGTAGCGTTCTGCTGCTTGAAAAAATGACTCCCGAGGAATCCCAGAACTGACAGATGTGGCGCTGTTTGTTAAGCCGCTGTGGGTAAAACTAGTCCCTGTCTTCTCCCCTGGGCCTTTTAGAAGGAGGTCATTGAAGGATTCTGATAATCCCTCCGTGTTGAAAATAAATGGCAAACAAGTATATATGGAATACAGGCATCGTTATTTCTCTCTACTTTTCCCCCATGGAGATTAAGAAAGGGAACACAGGCCGGGAGCGGTGTGTCATGCCTGTAATCCCAGCACTTTGGAGGCCATGGCGGGTGGATCGCTTGAACCCAGGGGTTCGAGACCAGCCTGGGCAACATGGCAAAACCCCGGCTCCACCAAAAATACAAAAAATTAGCCAGTCTCATAACCTGATCTCAAGTAAATAGATTTTTAAAAAAAAATTTTTTAAGGGAACATAATAGACAAGAGGGAAAACTGGGAACCAAAACTGTAGTTGAGTATACATTTTCTTTCTTTACAATCCACTTTAACGTTGAGGATATGCAGACCCTTAATTTGCTCTTGGTGTTGTCCACAGATGTCTAGATGAGGCATCCTTTCCAAGCTTCCTAACAGCTCTGATAAAATTGGAATGCAACAGTATTAAGTATTAATGATTGCATACTTGAGCTCAGCTTTTCAGCACCTTCATTTGTTAGGAAAACAATGGTCTTAGAGTTGTCAAAATACAGAAAGTCCACACCACAATAATAATATACTTTTTCTTTCCAGAGCCCTTCAGACTCTCATTCAGCTCCTTTTACCCGCATTTTACCATAATATGTACATGCTTTTTAGAATGTCAGCCATCAGAGAATGAGCCATTATGTGTCTAGTACAGGACCTAAAACAGTACTGAGTAAGTACAGTATGTGTTGAGTACATGAAAGCTTGGGTGTTTTGTTCCCCAGCTCAAAGCACATTAAAGTAGTAATTAAGAGAAGTTAACTATTACAAGCCAGCTGATGAGACTAGTGGGAAAGTGGTGGTTAACAGTCTGGCAAGGGAGGAAGCAGAAAACTTTTTATAAAAACCTTATATAAAAAGCGATGTGGTTCAGTTTAGCGTATGATAGAATAGGTCCACTAACATCACCTCCAAGAGTGTGTTAAATTATAGTGCAGTATTAAGTATGGCCTATTTAAGAAATCAAGACAAAATGCTTGAAAGTGTTTTATCAGCCCCTAGGTACCTGGAAAACTCAGCTGATCAGTACTCTCAGAGGGTTTGAGATAGCCCTTTTATTATAGAGACATGAGCCAACTTTTGGTATTTTGTCCAGGAATCTCCATACTTGGAGAAGTTGATAAAATATCATTCTCTTTGAAAGAGAATGTTTCATATTCTATATATATATGTGTGTGTGTGTGTATATGAGATATATACATTTTTTTTTTTTGAGACAGTGTTTCACTGTGTCATCCAGGCTGAAGTGCAGTGGCGCGATCTCGGCTCACTGCGACCTCTGTCTCCTAGGTTCAAGCAATTCTTCTGCCTCAGCCTCCCAAGTAGCTGGGACTACAGGCACGCGCCACCATGCCTGGCTAATTTTTGTATTTTTAGTAGAGATGGGGTTTCGCCATGTTGGCCAGGCTGGCCCCAAACTCCTGACCTCAGGTGATCTACCTGCTTTGGCCTCCCAAAGTGTTGGAATTACAGGCTTGAGCCACCGCACCCAGCCTGTTTCATGTTTTAAGGCAAGGCAGACCCTTGGTTTATTATTCAGGGAAGAATAAAGGTTTTTTCCGTTAATGTTTTGACGTCAGTGACTGCATAGTGGGTCTCTTAACCAATGTAATGAGCCATCCATTAGCTACTCATGTTCAAAGAGAACTTCAGCCCCTGAAATACTAAATTCATTTCTAAGTAATTTACAGAAGCAGAAGTTGTAGTGTCAGTTGGACATTTCATCTAGAAGAGGGCAAACAGGATTTTTTAGCTTTTACTTTTAGCAAACAGGATTCCCAGTGTCTCACTGAAACATTTTTTCTTTCTGTTTACAGCACTCTTATTCGCTCTCTTTTTTTTTTTTTTTTTGAGACAGAATCTTGCTCTGTTCCCAGGCTGGAGTGCAGTGGCGCAATCTCAGCTCACTGCAACCTCCACCTCCTGGATTCAAGCAATTCTGGTGTCCCAGCCTCTCAAGTAACTGGAATTTCAGGCACCCGCCACCACACCCAGCTGATTTTTGTATTTTTAGTAGAGACGGAGTTTCACCATGTTGGCCAGGCTGGTCTCAAACTCCTGACCTCATGATCCGCCTGCCTTAGCTTCCCAAAATGCTGGGATTACAGGCATGAGCCACTGCGACTGGCCTTCTCTTTTCATTCTCTCACCCTGCCCAGCTTGGTGTTCCTTATAGCTCCGTTTAAATACCAGCTCTATACAAGTGTCTCAGAAGCATTACTGTTAGCCCTAACTGAAGTAAATAGCTTTGTGACTCAGGATATTTCAGTACACCAAGCACCTTTCATGATGCAGTCCCATAAGAAGTTGCAAAGGTATGATATCATAGGAAAAAGTAGTTCTGAAAGCCAAAATTAGCCTGCTTAAATTTTCTTATTACCATTTTGCCTCAATTTTGGATAACTCTACTATTACTATATAGATGAGAAACTGAGGCTCTAAGACATTAAGTTACTCATCTAAAATGCCTAGATCAAGTAAGCAGTACAACTAAGATTAACCCCAGACTTAATACTCTTTGCTTTGGCCAGGCACAGTGGCTTATACCTATAATCCCATTGCTTTGGGAGGCCAACACAGGAGGATCACTTGAGCTCAGGAGCTTGAGGCTGCAGTGAACTATGATCATGCCACTGCACTCTAGCCTGAGCAATAGAGCAAGGTTCTGTATCTTTAAAAAACGCAAGAATCCTAACTTTGCCTCATACAAGAAATATCTTTGGAGGTTTGAGGTTCCCAGAGTTGACCTGCAAAATAGATTTAGCCCTTTAACTTCTGTTTCCTTCCTTTCAGGTGGTCAAATCTCAGCTAAATGTGTCTTCTGTCAGTGAGCACAATGCATATAGAGCAGGCCTTCAGCCCGTCAGCAAGTGGCAAGCCTATGGACTCAAAGGCTATCCTGGTGAGTGTAACTGACCTCAGAGAAGGCAATATCACTCAATCATTTGTGTTTTCATATCTTCAAAGAAGGTACTGTGAGCAAGTAAATAGACAAAGGATACACATAATAAACAGATAAGTGTTTCATTTCCAAACCGATTCTGTACTGTACCTTGTCTAAGATGTCCGTTTCCAAAGGATAGAACAGGAGTCAGCAGTGCCTGCAGATGTGGCTGAAAGTGGCATGACCATTGAAAAAATAAGGACATTGCCTCTGGGCTCCCTGCCACAACTCTGAACATCTGATTTGGCAGAAATGCTGTAAAGAATAATTTATCATTATCATTGTAATAAATGTCATATAATAGTTATGAATAATTCATAGCTGTCCCTGTAGTCACATTCTCAAATGGCATAACAACTTAAAACTTGTTGCTATCAAGGCTGAACATATTTAATAAAGAATTACAATTAATGACATCAGAAGTCCTCGCTGAGTACGGTGACTCACACCTGTAATCCCAGCACTTTGGGATGCCAAGGTGAGTGGATCACCTGAGGTCAGGAGGTCAAGACCAGCCTGACCAACATGTTGAAATCCCATCTCTACTAAAAATACAAAAATTAGCCAGGCGTGGTGATGCATGCCTGTAATCTCAGCTACTTGGGAGACTGAGACAGGAGAATCGCTTGAACCCGGGAGGCGGAGGTTGCAGTAAGCCAAGATCGCGCCATTGCACTCCAGCCTAGGCAATAAGAGGGAAACTCTATCTCAAAAAGAAAAAAAGGCTGGGTGCAGTGGCTCACACCTGTAATCCCAACACTTTGGGAGGCCTAGGCGGGCGGATCACAAGGTCAGGAGATTGAGACCATCCTAGCTAACAAGGTGAAACCCCGTCTCTACTGAAAATACAAAAACAAAATTAGCCAGGCATGGTGGTGGGCCCCTGTAGTCCCAGCTACTCAGGAGGCTGAGGCGGGAGAATGGCATGAACCTGGGAGGCAGAGCTTGTTGAGCCGAGATGGTGCCACTGTACTCCAGCCTGGGCGACAGAGCGAGACTCTGTCTCAAAAAAAAAAAAAAAAAAAAAAGAAAGTCCTAATAGGGGACAGGTGAGGTGGCTCACACCTATAATCCCAACACTTTAGAAGGCCAAGGTGGGAGGATCACTTGAGCCCAGGAATTTGTGACCAGCCTGGGTAACATAGTAAGACCCTGTCTCTACCAAAAAAAAAAAAAAAATTTTCCCAGACAGAGTCTCACTCTGTCACCCAGGCTGGAGTACAGTGGCACAATCTCAGCTC